TTTGGAGGAGCCGTAAGGCATTTAACACTGTGACACGAACATTTTATAAATTACATTTATAAACTTATATGATCATTTAAATGTACTTCTTTACTACCTCTACAAGGATGGTTATAAAAAAAATATAGGTCTTGCGTCATGCATCCTCCATTACTGCCCAGTAAACGTATCGTTAATATTCCATATTAATATATTAAAAAAAGGGAAACCTGAAAGTCACCAGATTAGGGCCTAATATTTGGGAACGGCTGGTACGGACCGTTTTTATAGCTGACCTAAACTAGTTCTAGGATCTTGATTGCACGTTTTAGGGTACCTCAATAAATTACGAAATTGCCGCGACTTATTGTAGTAGGGCACGAGGATTTAATCTGAAACCATTACATCCGTTGGTCGGAACTAAAACGTGCCTTGAGATAATGTACTTTTACGGTGGCGAAGGAAATTGATAGTAATCTGGATTAATAACCTCATTGCTAGCAATGTCAGTCTGTCTGTCTCCACGCGGTTCCTCCTGGAATCCATAGTGATAAATTTCAGGTCAATTTATCACCATGAGCTTACTGACCTGACCTTATATTCATCTTATCATCCTCCACTGGTGCCCTGCCAGCGTAAACCGTTAGCGCAGGCAAGTGCACCATTCCATTGTCATATAAAAAAATATACTTTAACTGCTATGCCAGATTGGGCAGCCACTTATAACGCACACTTGATTTAGTTTAGTTACTTGAATAACGAGCGTGCATGGCAATAGTTGTTCATCCACAGAATTTTGATTTAATGTTAGACATAGACACTTATATAAATAAACATTTTCAATAAACTGGCTTTTAAAACAAAATAATCAGAAATACGACTGAGTTTCTTGCCAGTTCTTCGGAATTGAATCTTTATACTGAACTGGACGGTAGAGAAAAAATTATAATACAAGAAATTTACGTTCATAAGCGGCTAAAATGTCCTACACGAATAAATGATTATTGATTCTGAATTGAAATTCAATAGGTACATTTAAATCCAGTTGGGTTACCGAACAGTCAACACTAGGCTTCCAAGCAATATCCGAACTCTATTCAATGCTTGATGATGCCTCGTTCTGAGGCGAAACACCTGCAGCAATATTGGTGTAAATTCAATAACGGACGTAATTTAATCTCTAACGCTCCCAGTACCGGTGGTCAAGTTTCCGAACCCAATATTAATGTTCTCACACATGCTAAAGTTAGTGGAATTAAACAAAATAATATGGATGCATTAAGTAATGAAATAGATTTCCGCAAATTAGCACCTAATTCTATAAAATATGTATTTAAATCTAATGTGGAAGAAAGTAAGTCTAGTGGGGAAGAACATATCGACGGGGTCATGGGAGAATGCTAACTCAAATCCATAACTGTGTTCAAACGCTTTGAAGTACATCATGTGGTACATTAAAGCTAACCTTACTGGTAATCTTAGTAAAGATTTTCCATAAAAAAACGGGTGCAAATCTACTATCTTCAGTTGTATAGATTAGACTTTATTTAATTGTGTTTACCGTCATTATACATCATTAGACAGAAATTTGAATCAACACAAAGTTTTCTATGTCAACCAGACTCTATGTTACGACCTTTGAGTTATATAAGTAGTGTAGTATCCACTAGACCACGACACTCCAAAGCACTATACAGAAATGAATACTAAATTCAATAATAGAAAAGTTTTGAGCATCCAAGTTATAACATAAAAGAAAGAAGCGCTCATCTGCATAGAGAGTCGCTTAAGACGTGATTTTCTCGCATGAGCCACCTACAACTGTCCCCGAGGCCAGCTGAAGTGTTCGTTTCGTTATAAACAGAGCAATACGGGATGAAAGGGTCCTTAGGGACTAAACCGTAGTTGCTAGTACTTTGATACCTTTGTGTGACGTCACAACTACTATAAGTTGAACAAAGATAATATTTTCTTTAGTTGTTTATCTGAAGACGTAGAGAATAAACACGAAGGGCCTTGCGTTAAGGCGTAGCATTACTACATTGAACGGGGAATTATACTAAGGAAATATTTTATCGAAACATCCGTTTCTTATGTAACTGTAAATAAACAAATAAACTGATTGGTTGATTGGTGGTAAGCGCCAACCATTGTCCAATAGCATCACGGACATTACGTCATCATATGACATCATGATGCCCTCGGTGAAGTAGCTTAGCACACTGCTTTACCTCCGATAGTTGAGGGTTAGATTCCTCGCACGTTACAAACATTTGTACTCTTAAATCTGATTGTTTGTATTAGTATATACATATATAATATATACTGAAAATAGCTTCCGCGGGTTTGGAGTGCCATCTGCACTAGCCCCTATCATCCCGAGAAGCTGTAAAGGCTAGCTGCGGCCAACAGCATTAGAGTAGTCCGAAATAAAAAAAAAGTAATTAAAAAAGGGGTATCTTCTCCGTAATATTCATTAGTATTCAGAGTCTCAATTATGCACTTGTATAAATTATGCAAATCCGTTTCTTTTGCGTAACCTACAACCACACAAGATAATATTATCTATCACAAGATAATATATCAGAGGAGCTTCCTCTCGCGTACACTTAGATTGTGGAATGAACTACCTGCCGAGGTTTTCTCGAGAGACTACAGCATGGGGTTTTTCAATGGTTTATTAAGGTTTCTTAAAGGTCGGCAACGCGCATGTGACACCCCTGGTGTTTCAAGCGTCCATAGGCTACGGTAACCGTTTACCATCAGATGGGCTGTATGCTTGTTTGCCACCTAAGTGGTATAAAAAAAAAATATCTTGGGAAATGTTTAAAATTCCTTATCCGTACAAGATTACGGTTGGGTATGGTGTAAAGCAGTGATTCCCAAAGTGGTCTATATCGACCCCCAGGGGTACATGACTAAACTTTACTACAATTAGAAATTTACAAAAAATCACCAGGTAAGAATGTGGGGTCTACCCAAAACCGAAAAATATGGCAAGGGGTCTACGACACAAAAAAGCTTGGGAACCTTTGGTGTAAATAGATGAATCGGGAATTCATAATGTGGAATTAGATTGTAGGCTTCCGCGAGGCATTGTAGACGTACCCGGGGTAGTGTGATTGATCAACCTACCGTTTATTCTGACATAGACTGATAGGTGGGTGATAATCCACGCTAATATTATATAGAAAATCGTGGATTAGTGGTTTACAGCTCTGACATAGACCATAAAGTTTGTAAATTCTAATCCGTGGAATATAAAAGGACTTTATATTCCAATTTCTATTTAGACTCTTGGTGAGGAGAAGTAAACACCGTAATAAACAGAATCCGTGATATATTATATAAGTACCTCCTGCTACATTGGATTATGTATTTGTGTTTATATATTTATGATTCACATTAATATCATAAATAGGAGTATGTCTAAATTGATATAAAGATCACTGGCCACTTATATATTATAAATATCAGAAAGAACGGATTTGTTTGTGTGTAGTCTGTGTGAATTCACAAAAACAACATTGTATGTTATAAGTTATACTAGCTTTTACCCACGGCTTCGCTCGCGTTAATTTATCACCTTAGGGGTAGAATTAATCAAAATCCTTTCTTAGCGGATGCCTACGTCATTGTAGCTTTATGCAGAAAATATCTCGCCCGACGATTTAAAATTGACAAAGTTTCATACAAACTTTCATCCCCTATTTTGTCCCCTTTTGGGGTAGAATCAAAGCTTTCTTAGCGGATGCCTACGTCATAACATCTACCTGCATGCCAAATTTCAGCCCGATATAGTGGTTTGGGCTGTGCGTTGATAGATCACTACGTCAGTTAGTCACCATATAGTTATATATATTTAATATATGTTTTGTCATAAATATTTGTTGTATACTGATTATACTACTATACTACTGGCTGGCTGATCAGAAATGGCATTTGATTCTCCAGTTTATATTTAGATTTATAGTTCTATCGTTGTACAATTTTGTTTATACTTCAACTTTTGTTATAGTTAAAAGTCGAGTGTAAATTGAATTATAAATATACTTTTGAATAATATGCCTCATGAGTTAGTTAGATATAGTTTTGACTGACAACTCTTGGGAACGCAAATTATATATTAAAATTTTGGTTTCCCCCAACTTGTTGGGTTTTTAATGAGAAAATATCACGTAGACCTTCCGTAATACAATCTAAAGGAATAAATTAACGCGAGGAAGCCGCGAGCAAACGCTAGTATAATATATAATATATAATGAATACACTGTACATTGTTTGTCGAGTGTAATTAACCCTTTACAGAATTCCCCAACATCAGATACGTATATTGGAGTAAACAGCGGAGGAAAATTTCATAGAAATTTGTATCATTGTTCGATCACAACAACGGACTTTCTAATTGGCAATACAATTGTTACTGAAAACAGCATTCTGAACATCCCCCATACCTATTGTACACCGATATACTTACATCCGTCAAGGGGTTGATTGCGTAGGAAAAACAATACATCCTAACATTTTAGTTTTTGAATCACATTAAACTAGTTTCTTTTGTCGCGATTTTTCGTTCTAGTGACGGTAGTAGAAATATAAATTCAAAAACCATTTATATAGGACACTTTAGCCGCTTATTAATGTATTTTTTTATATTATAATTTTTTTCTCCACCGTCCAGTTCAGTATTAGATCCAATTGTGAAGAACTTCTTACTTACTTAGAACTTCTTCTGTAATTAACATGTTTTTTTTTTATCTTTTTTAATCTCACAACACACACTTCACACAGCGCCATCTAGACCCAAGTTAAGCTTGTGTTACGGGTACTACTGATACAAGTACATAGATAATTTTTTTTCGTAAATACATATATATTATACATAGAAAACACCCAGACCGATACAAACAATCATACTTATGAATACAAATGTTTGTGCCGTGCGAGGAATCGTGCCCGCGACCATCGGTCGTAAAGCGGTGTGCTACCGCTAGACCACCGAGATCGTCACGATTGCATACCTGTTTGTCTCTGTCTTGGGGCATTTTAGTGTCGACCCCCTCGGGGAACGGCTTCACTAGCTCGGGCTTCTCCTTGATCTTCTCCATGATGAAGTCCAGCACCACCATGATTCCTTCCACGGAGCCGGTGATGAGGCACGCCCGCTCAGTAGTACCTATGGACAACGAAAAAATAACATCATCAGCACACATTTCTATATCATTTCATCATCATTACATAGTATGAACCAAAGTAGCTGTCTGTCCGTCCCTATATATGCTTAAATCTTTAAAACTATGCAACGGATTTTGAAGTGTTTTTTTTAATAGATAGAGTGATTCTAAAGGAAGGTTTATATATATAGAACGAGTACACCCGCGCGAAGCCAGGCGAGTACTAGTCTAATATATAAAACTTTGTCACAGGTTTTGTGTTTATACTCCTCCGAAACAGCTTGACCGATTTTGATGAAATTTTAAACGTATATTCAGTAGGTCTAACCCTAAGACTTAAGGGCCACCCTTAAGTCTTGGGGAGAAAGAATTAAAGATTTTTGTACTTGGAGTAAATATTTTTTTTAATGATGTTTAAAAGTCGAAACTGACTGGTCTAAATGCTCTAAATATCAGAGGGCAAGAGGCTACTGTTTGGGTATATTACTAGGATCCTAATAAGTTTGTCGTCCCTGAACATGTTTCAGCAGCTGCGGACCACTTATGAAGTTGTATTTACGTTTATATTTTTGGTTATATTTGTGGCCCGTACCATTCGTACGTGGAATATTTAGTACACGCATTACCCTTTTCCCTACCACTTAGTAATTGTACATGATTTGTACGAAAATGTACACATCCACTCGATGTACATATGAAATACAATTGTATTTTTTTTTAATTTAAGCTAAACATAAAAACCCGTTATTTTGTCTTATTTATTTCTTACTAGCTGTTCTAAATTCAAATTTGAAATTTAAATTTATTCTTCTAAAATAAAAGTAGCATAAGTTACTCCTTATCAGCTAACTGCCAAAAAAAGTCCCGTCAAAATCGGTCCAACCATTTCAGAGATTAGCCGGAAGAAACTGACAGGCAGACAGACAAAAATTGTAAAAAATGTTATTTGGGTGTATGTACCGTATTTATATTCATATGCATGTAGTAAAAACGGTTATTTCAATATTACAAACAGACACTCCAATTTTAACAAAATTGTGTACATGGCGTACTCAATGCCTAAGGAACTTGTTAGAAATAGAAATAATCTTTTTTCAAATAAACTTAATATAAGCACTTTTGAACAGTCATATTTTTTTAATAATAATAATAATAAAAAAACATCCCTACACACTAGCCTCAACATATTACAACTTCATCCACTTACTTTCAAACTTCTCACAAAAGGCTGTAATACTGAACACGTGTAGAATAGTCCGCAATTTTTGTCTTCCGCTTAAAAATCTCCATCGTATTCATAATTTATACTGTTCATTGTTTGGTGATTTTTACCCGCAATGATATGTCTGTTGCCCCATCAAAGGGCATCAAATATATATATATAACTTAATAATAATAATAAATGTTCAAAATCTACCCTGTATCATCGTAAGCACAGATTATTATATTAGAGTCCGTTAGTTTTCTGTTCCCGCGCCTTTGCCTCCCCTCCCTTAACTAGTAACAAACGGACTGTACAGCGGCCTTGACGCGCGCGCATTGTGTTGTGAATTAAAATAAATTAGAACTGTGTTAACCTACTGTGAAGCTGGAAAGCTAGCGAGGATACCTTCGAGACCCTGAAGCCCAAGAAATCCGCAGAACCATAAAGGTAAATGACTGACGCTTCCCTAACATTTTGGTAGCAGAGTAGTTTCCCAAACAATAATAATAAATCAATTTATTGCCAATATCAGTATAGTTACACAGTTACACATTTATACATATTTAATATGATTGGCAATAGGTACAAACTCAACAATTCGAGCAAAAACATTAGTTTTTGAGGCAATGTCAGTTTCTTTTTTAACATTTAAATTTTCACATGTCAGAAATTTTCATGTCATAAAAATATTCAAACAGTTAAATTTAAAAAATACGGAAGATCTCTGGGACATGTCAGTTAAAGTAGTTAGTACATTCATAGATATTGTTGCTCCTTATCTAGCTACTATTTTCAATAAATGTGTTGATAATGGCGTGTTTCCTCAATTAATGAAATTTAGCAAATTAATTCTTTTTTAATCACAACACACACTTTAAATCTGGAGATAGATTTGAGCTAGGCAACTATACAAGTACCAATTTTTTTTCTATACATTTGCCAGTTCTAAATATATATTATTTGAAAAGATTATGTTTAACCAAATGTTAAAATACTTCAGGGATAACGGACTGCTTCATCAGTCAGCAATATGGTTTCACTGTCGGAAAGTCTACTACTGATGCAGGTGTAGCGCTTATTACACATATATTCGAATCATGGGAAAACTCACAGGATGCTCTCGGCGTGTTTTTTGACTTTTCGAAGGCGTTTGATTGCGTAGATCATGAAACACTTTTGTACAAGCTCAAAAATTATTGTATTAGAGATAATCATCCACACATTTCTATGAAAACTTATCTATTAGGATAGGGTGCAAACTGTAGATATTGATGGTGTATATAGTCTAAAACTAATATAAAAATGGGCGTTCCTCAAGGTTTTTTTTAATATTAGGCCCATTTCTCTTTTTAATTTATATAAATGACCTTCCCAGTAAATTAAAATGTACATGGTAGAGAAAGTTGCAGATATAGTGTTATTTGCGGATGATACTTCGTTAGTGTTTAAAATTGGTCGCGCAATTTTACGATGTATATTCAGTAGGCTATCTCTGCTATACTAAATTGGTTTGTAATAATCTATTATTGAACTCCAACAAAATTTTTTTTTAATGTGCATTAAATTCACGCTGCCTAATGTAAAACAAGTAAATAGCAGCTATTGCTTAATGATGAAATAATAAATTTTGTAATGAACAGTTTTTTTAGGAATAACAGTGGACTCGAAGTTACAATGGGGGCCCCATATTTCAAAATTAGCCAGTAGACTTAGTTCTGCTGCTTATGCAATTAGAAGGATAAGGCAATTTTTTCCATAGCATTATGTCATATGGCATACTGCTGTGGGGTAAAGCTGCCGATGTAAATACTATATTTATTTTACAAAAGAGAGCCATACGTTCTAGAGAGTCATTACGTCAATGCTTTAAACAATCAAATATCCTCACCGTTGCCTCACAGTACATTTATGAAAATATTATGTATACAAGGAAAAACTTAGATAGTTTCAAGAAACTTAGACTGTACAAGTAGAAACTTACGCAATAAAAATAAGCTAATTTTACCTAAATGCCGTCTACACAAAGTTAGTAATTCATTTTATGGTAATTGCGTAAGATTCTATAATAAACTGCCAGAGTCTACGCTAAATCTTACAGAGAGGCAATTCAAATCTTATATTAAACAAATGTTATGTAAAAAAGCCTATTATAAAATAGATGAATTTATAGATAATAGCAATATATAGCAAGAATAAGTTTATTTGCGGACAACGTTATAATTTTAATTTTCATACTGCTTTCTTGATATATGATAGCGTAGCGGCTTTTGTATTGATTGCCGCATGCATCCTTATGTAAAGTGCGAATACTGTAACTACCATATAGTAATTTTTGTAGCTGTGACGTGGTCGTGTGGAATGAGTAGTCATGCTCACTAAAATGTCCAGACATGTGGCGGCGTGGTGGGCCGGGTCAAATATAAATATATCCCTAAAATATGGTCGAGCGCAGTGATGGCTCATCCGTCATACTCGTGAACGAGTTATTATTGTAGGGACTGGTCTGCTCTAATCACTACGACTGATTTAATCTTATTGCATGATTATATTTGACCCAAAAATTCGTGCTTGTTGGTAGTTTGTATTCACACGTTTCGACTTGTAAATGTAAACTTACAAGGATTATTTAAAAGAGCAACCATAAAGTAAATGACTTGCTCGTTCTAACTTGTGATGAGACAGCTTTCCGAACGAGTGGTAGATAAAAACAAATTGTTATGACTATTCAAAAGTGCTTAAATTAAGTTTATTTGAATATTATTTTCTATTCTATTCTATTCTACTCAGCTGTTGCTGGACTGATGGGCGTCCAGCGCTGGTTTTCAGTTTGTACCTCCTCACACGTGCTAGATAACCATACCACAACATAATGAAATAAAAATTTAACAAATTAATACATTTTATTCTAACACTCATTTGGAACGCAGTCTCATCACAAGATGAGCAAGCAACTTGTGTATTGCTCTGTATAAATGCTGAATGATAATGCAAACAAACACACTCATAAATACAAATGTTTGTACATTATTCAAACCCGAAACCATCGGAAGTAAACCGGTACGCTGATCCGCTAGACCACCGAAGCAGGCTATATGTGTATCTTATCTTATATATAAAATTCTCGTGCCACAGTATTCGTTCCCATACTCCTCCGAAACGGCTTGACCGATTCTCATGAAATTTTGTGAGCGTATTGAGTAGGTCTGAGAATCGGCCAACATCTATTTTTCCTCCCCCTAAATGTTAGGGGTAGTCCATCTCTAATTTTTTTTTTATTTTAAAGCAAAACAACGTTTGCCGGGACAGATAGTCTTAATATATAATAATATTATAAATGCGAAAGTTTGTGAGTATGAATGTTTGTTACTCTTATGCAAGCACTACTGAATGGATTTTGATGAAACTTTACAGTAATATAGCTTATGCATCAGAATAACATAGTAAGTGCGACGTAGACGAATTTTCGCGGGTCAGCTAGTATTACATCAATATATATATAATATATAATAATAATATAAATAATAATATCTATATAATAATATCTCAGGACAATTCACACATCGCCATCTAGTCCCAAGCTAAGCAGAGCTTATGTTATGGGTACTAGACAACTGATATGAATACATAGAGACATTTTTTTTTGTAAATAAATAAATATTATACATAGAAAACACCCAACCGATACAAACAATCATACTCATGAATACAAATGTTTGTACTGTGCGAGGAATCGAACTCACGACCATCGGATAGTAAAGCGGTGTGCTAAACCACTAGACCACCGAGGTTGTCATATTA